AAAGAGCTAGGGCACCCGAAACCTCCTCTTAGCCGATCGAACCAAGCTGTCATATGCAAGTTAGCCAGGATGGCTTTTGATCTTGGATTTCGTACTGAATTTATTGAGGAAGCCATTACAGAAGACCCCATGGACCTACTTGCCTGTCATCTTGTCGAAGGCTCTGAAATTTTACGTCTCAAAATCCCAGAAAACGAGCGGCGAAATATTGCTGCTATCTTGAGAAAGTCGGGTGCCGGGACAGGCTCTGTGCCAGACGCGCCGATATTTACCGATCAGGGGCGATTGGAGTCAGAAAGACGCTGTGGTCGTCCATTTGAAAGAGACTACGAGGCCGAAAAAACTTCTCTATATTTACCTCCGCTTATGGCACAAATGAGAAAGCATCACGCGATCAGCGATGGCGAGAATATCACATCTCTATATGTTAAACTTGATTTCTTGAAGACGTTTTTCGACGGCCTTGATGTGAGTTATTCATTATGAATATATTTTTCATTCTAACCTATTTAGATAAACGTCAAATTCCTAGATCAAACGGAGAACATGCAGGTAGATTCAGGTGATCTCACCGAACTGCAGAACGACCTTGAAGCCCGATTTGCCACGTCCCTACGTGAAGAGCAAAGTAAATGCCTTGCGCTGACTCAGAAAATCCAAGATATGGAGCAAGCACACCATAATAAATTGCAGAATGAGAAATTAGAGAAGGCAGCTTTGAACAGTGACATCGAGATTTTGCAGCAACAGTCTGCAGCGCAAGCTTCGACTTAGGCGATGATGGAGGCTAGAATGGCTAGCCTCAATCACGAGATCTTGTTGAGAGACGAAAGGATGAAACAATTCAAAGGAGAAGTGGAACAAGATTACAAAATACACGAAAAGGCCATGCATGACCTCCGTGCGACTATTTCGACGATGACAGAGCAGCGCCAGAAGGCAATAGAAGATTCACAGCACCGAAACCAACTTCTACTCGAGGGACCCATGTCGGCGCAGAATTTAGATTACCAGAGAATTCGCCGATACGCACGTACGTTGTTATGGTCTATACAACGAACGAGAAGCTATTCTTCATTCCTTTATACGCTGAAATAAATCACTTATACGAATTCTTCAACGTTCTCCGGCTAGATATACCCACTGTGAAACTAATGACACGAGACCGAGAAATTTTCAATTACAATGACCAATACAGGTTTGAAGAACTGCTCCGGATGCACCAGTACTTATTTATAGGCAACACGGCATCTCTGACTCTATTCAAGGAGAACGAGCGCGTTTATGACAGACCTGATACTATGCACCTGGAACTTCCATCTAAATCTAGTCTGCTTAAGTTGCCAAAGACAGAGAGAAACCCCCAAAAAAGCGAGAAACGTGTCTCATCCAGGAACGACAAGAAAACCATTGACAATACACGCTCCAGAATCAAACAACCAACAGGCGTCAAGGGATCAACACGTCATCTTGCCAAGTTATTAGAGCCTCCATCAACTTCTGCGCCAAACTTGCCCACCGTAACAATTAATCAAGAGTCGTGACCTAAACGTCGTCGCTTGTGCAGGTAGCCATGCGGAGATCTCACTGGAATTGGTCGCCTTTTGGGAGGCCGTAGGACGTCGATTCCATGATTGTGGGCAACATAGGCGTTCTCTGCAGTCTGATGCCTGCATTCTGCGAGAAAATCCTGGTCACTGAGTGTCTGCATGGGGAGGGATATAAAGTAGTCGATATCTGGACTATTGTTGTTTAGGGAGCTGAGTGGGAATAAAAGTCCATCATTGTCGCCACGATTCTGCAAACTGAAGTTCGACCCGCTCTGTTGAATAGTGCGATTTTCATCAGCGCCCAGACCCTCGATGGATGCGACTGGAGAAGATTGTTTCCCACTTGGCGAAGCGTACGGATCATACACAAGATCAGGTGTGGCTTCAAGAGATCGATCGTTGAGGCTTGATCGATTGGCAGGGTCAAAACCGCCGATGACACCTACTGATTGTGATTCTCTCACCGTTTGGAAATCGCAGGGTAGATACACTCGCGTGGGGTTTTCATCCTTTTGTAAAAGTGAGTGCGCTGTTCGATAAACTCGCAACTTCAAAAACTCACTTGAGTAGGCCAAGAAGCCTCTTTGTCATGACGATATGCATGGATCACATCATTGTACGCAACTCTACAATCTATTTCCATACCAGGAAACTGAGCTTGAAGTTGGTAGCATTTCCTAAACAGGGTAAGACGACGGCCATCCAGGACTTTGGCCGACATGGTGTGGGTCGGTCGTTTGCAGTATACAAAGTGGAAAGTGATATCTGGGGAGAACAGATAAAACAGAGAAACACAATTATAGGAAGTCGATAGTCCAGATAGTCTTGTTCTGGAGAGGCGGATAACGCATTTTAAATACTAGTAATTACATCTATCTATAGTTAAGCGCATCTCTTCATTGGCTAAGTATTTTTGGCATGTATGGTAGTATTTTTAGTGAGTGGGTAGCGGACCGACCCGACACTACCAGCCTTAAACCGGGTTCCAGAAAATACGAATTTAGGCGAAGTATAAGTACGTAAAGGCAACCGCAGGTAACAGAGGAAGAATTTTCCTCTGGAATTTCGTAATTAGGCTACTATGTACCCCCCGGAGATCTACGCGATTTGTCTTGCGTCGTGCTTTACCCTTGTGCTTGCATGGCAAATTTGGCGACATGTCTTCGCTACCATCGGACATTCTAGTCTCATACGCACTGGCAAGGTCTTTCGATACATGCTTCTATTAACACGTCGAAGAGGATCCTCCCATTTTACTTTAATTCATGGCATATTATTATGTCTTTATGCCGCCGCAAACATACTTTCAGCAACTTTATTCACTTCTGGGATGGCCAACTTTGCTGCACGATGTAGCTATTTATCTCTGGTTAACCTCATACCATTATACTTAGGAGGTCGCACAAGCTTTATTGTAGACCGAACTCTCAAATTTGACCTTGGTATCTACCATCTATTTCATAAATGGACCGGTCGAGGTTTCGTTGGACTAGGATTCGTACATGGAATATATCAGCTTTCTCAATCTCGGTGGCGGATGACTCTCGGCGAAATATTAGTAAGTCTTTCGATTTTTTTCTCAGTGCCAACTGATCTAGTAATAGCTCTGTACATTCTGTCTAAGTTTAGGACTATTCTCAGTTCTATGGCTGAGACGAATGGCATACGAGATCTTTCTCAAAACTCACCTAGTTTTAGCATTGTGTCTTCTCGGTGTCCTGTGGACACATATTAGCCTCGCGAAAACGAGCTCACTAGTGGCTCTGTCTATGACCAGCGCGTTCTGGGCTATTCAGCAAATTCTCTGGGTAGCGACAGTTCTCCACCGCAACCTAGGTCATTCTCAGAACAGGGTTTCAATACAGAGCTTAAGTAACACCGAAGGAAATTCAACAGCGGTATTGAAGGTCTTCATCAGCCCTAAGAAGACATGGCAAGTCAAGCCAGGTCAATACGTTTATATTTCGATGCCTGGTATCGCACGTCACCGTTTT